ATTTAGTTGTTGAATGTGAATAAATATATTCGTGAATAATAATAACATTAAATGTGAATGAATATAAACTATGTGAATGAATATAAACTTTGTGAATTTTGCACCATTTCGCCAACCATACATTTCACGTGTGCATGCTCTTCAGGTCACACGAGGCTGACCGCAGATTGCTGATTAGCTCTCTTGCCATCACCAGGTTAATGCGCTACAGGCAAGGCCGACGCTTGTGTTGCATTCCTTTGAGGTCAAGTATACATGACAAAGACTGTTGATACCTCCAGAGACACAACGGTTTTCACGACATAAGAACACTCTTTCAGCGCTCCGGAGAGAAAGGTTAGTCTCATGTCTGATTCTACATCAGATGAGAGGTGCGATGGTCTCTTGGAAGCAGACAAGAAACCAGTCAAACCTGAGGATCAAATCCACCACGATGACACTCCACCGGACGGGGGCTGGGGGTGGGTAGTGTGCCTGGGTGCCCTGATGGTAAATTTCCTCACCGTGGGACAACAGAACTCGGCTGGTGTAGTGTATTCTGCGTTACTGAACGAGCATTCCTCGCAAAGAGGAGAAACAGGTAAGTTTGTTTCTTAATCTGCTTGTTTTACTTCTTGTCCAATTCACTACAAGTAAGCATTTTACATACACGATAGAGGCAAGTAAAAGATATAATATTCAATCGTGAATGACGTTTTCTCTCGTGAAGATTGAAATGTTTAGTTTTCTTTTTACGTGAGTCGTGACTTCGTTAGAGGGATGAAGAAAGATTTTCCAAATTTGTGTATTCAGCTGTTATTTACAACTCTCGTTATTACATTACGTGATCAACAGTGTTACGTGACCGAGACAGGTCACGTAACACTCTCCCTTTGGTCTTTCATGATCATTTACCAGCTTTGGCTGCGCTTTTGTGTTCGAGTTCGCTGTTAAATTTTCCCGAAATAGTCATTTCTGTCGTGAATTGTGGCAGAACGGTTTTATTTTCACCGTACCTTTAAAACACTCACAATAGAGATCAAAGTTTGGTTTACTAAACTGAAAGACAGTCATATCTAATCTCCGAGCAAGTGTGATTCCTGTCATATCTCGAGGACTGGAAGCAAACATTGGAATAAGGCCAAAAAGAGAATCTGTCAAATATCTGTGTCAAAATTGCCTTTGTAATCCATACACTAATTCTATTAAAGTAGAGATACCGTACCGTGGGGATATTTAGACAACGGAAGCTCTCGTGTTCACAGAACGGAAACAAAAGAACTTTAAGCCAAATTAGTGTAGAAATCCCGAGTTTAGTTCATTCTGGTGAACTCCGCAGTCACCCAGTTGGAGGTCAGAGCTATAATTTGCAATTTATAACAAAACCGCAGATGTAGACCCTATTCATAAATGGCTGCCAATTTAAAATTCTTTTGAATGCATTTATATTAGTCCAACTACCGTCATTTCAGAGTAAAAATTCTTTTAAACTACGAACTCAAAAACGAGGTTAGTCGGGCTAATTTTAAACTTACAAAAGAATTCTTAATTGGCAGCCATTTATGAATAGGCTCTATGTTTGGAACACTTTACACGTAAATTACACTCCCGCAGTGATCGGAAGACTTCCAACTGCTTAGCATGAGATTGAGTTTTTGAGAGTTCAGTCTCAGTAATACAATCTCCTCACAATATTAGGAACAAGCACTTAATTTTCATTTTTTTTTCTCCAGCTCTTTAGCGGTCCGAATCCTAAATCCTTGAATCTGATGGCAAATCGCGCGCGCTCAAGCGGTCCAGATTTTCCCATCAGGGGGGCGTTTCTCGAAGGTACCGAAAAGTTTTCGCACCCAGAAAACCGTGACAAAATTTCAAACCTTACGATTACAGAATTGTTTTATTCATATATCCTTAATATGAAGAGAGGTTCTCTTCATACAAAATGTTTCAGGCGTATACCCCTCTCTGTTTTTAGACATAGACTAATTAAAAGGATCCTTATTACAGACCACTCTGAAATTACCAACTTGGTAACGTTCCAAGCTTTTTGTTACACCCCAAACAGTATAGCTTTTTGTGCCCGAAATGTCAAACGCACGCGTGAACTGAACGGCTTTGATTAAAATTCGACACAAAAGTTGCTGGCCGAGGGACGTACTCAAGACCGAGGACACAGTATTTCCCAATACGGACTGATCAAAGCCAGCAAGTAACATATATTTATGATATAAATAACACCATCATCGAGTGAGACTGCACAACATGTATATTTTTGTATTTGATAGCTTGGGTGGCCTCACTAGCCTCCAGCACGATGTATCTCTTCGCTGCCGTTGCAACCTCCCTCGCGGAGCGTTATGGGAGCCGAATAGTCGTCATCATTGGGTCGTTTGTCTCCGCCTCAGGCCTTCTCGCCAGCTCCTTTGTAACAACGCTTCAACCTCTCTATGCGACCTATGGCGTAGTTTGGGGACTGGGATCAAGCCTTGGCTTATTCCCCTCGATTGTGATTCTTACTAAGTACTTCAGAAGGCGCCTGGCCCTTGCTTCGGGGATAGCTCTGGCGGGTGCGGCGTGTGGGACCCTAGTCTATGGCCCTGTAATACAGTTTCTAACATCGAAATACGGCATCGCGGTAACATTTCGGATTCTTGCTTGTGTCCAAAGTGTTATGTTTCTATGCGGCTTGACCTTCCGACCAGTGGAATCTGAGGGCAGGAAAACTCACAAACACACAAAGAAACAAAGGAAACACAGAAGCTGTATCTTCAAGAACAAGGCTTACACCATATGGGTAGCAGCGCTGTGTGTGTTTATGCTCGTCTTTCTCGTGCCTTTTGTTCATTTGGTAAGCTCCACTGTCAAATTCTTTTTTACCATCTTTAAGCATTTTCTATGATATCACTTGGGAGAATTTACTTTTCAAAGCAGAATCGGATTCTGTATTCTTATGACCCACTTGGAAAGAGCAGTTACATCATTATACAAGTGCGAAATGAACACCGCCACCTTAAAAGTTAATTAGTGATTTGTACTCAACATGAATTTGTTCTTTGTGGAGGTGCGGGGCCCCATGGTTAGCACGCTAGACTCCGGATCGAGCGGTCCGGCTTCAAGCCCTGGCCGGGGACATTGTTTTGCGTTCTTAGGCAAGGCACTTTACTCTCACGGTGCCTCTCTCCACCCAGGTGTACAAATGGGTCCCAGCGAATTTAACCCTGGGGGGTAACTATGCGATGGACTAGCATCCCATCCAGGGGGGAGTAGAAATATTCCTAGTCGCTTCACGCTACAGAAACCGGGATCAGCTCCAGCCTGATGGGCCACTAGGCTCGTATGCAGACTTTACCTTTATTCAACATCAATTTGTTCTTCTCCTCTCGTCTAGGTCCGATTTGCGGAAGATAAAGGAATTAATGAAACCAAAGCTTCATTACTTACAGGTTACTTAGCCTTTGGAGTCCTGATTGGGAGCATTGGATTTGGCCTTGCTTGTGATCTTCCTCGATTCAATCGCCTGAAAGTCTGCCAAGTAACACTGCTCTTAATGTCTCTGTCGACGTCCCTTGTCACATTGGCAACAAAATACGCGTGGATTTGCGTGTACACCGTCGCGATTGGCGTGCTCGACGGCGGTTACGAGATGCTTGTGCCCGTGATCACGCGTGACCTTGTTGGTCCTCGCCGCGTTGCGCGTGCCATAGGCGTGCTCTATTGCCTGATGGCATTCCCTAAAACGCTTGGTCCGCCAATCGCCGGATGGCTTTTTGACTTGTCCAACGACTACAACGTTTCTTTTTACATTACGGGCGCTGTAACCATGTTGGCGACGTCAATCATGTTTCTTCTAAACTGGGTTCCACCTTCCGAAGACCGCAAAGAAATAGTGATGGAATCTCTCGAATACAATGACGAACCACTTAACAACGATATGTGCGACGGACTGGGGCAGAATCCAAAGCTAAGAACCTTTTATAGTGAGTTGCCGGCGCAACCTTACGGTTCAACGATGTGGCTTCCGATTTACTTCGTTGAAAGTAGCGGGGAGTACATTTACATGGAAAAGCTGACAGCTGTGTGATCAGGTTTGCGAAAGAGGAAGTTTTTCCAAGACACAAAGGCCAGCAGAGTCGTGTTCACTTGCCAAGAACAGTGCGGCATCTTGCGGCACCATTGCGCATGATCGAAGGAGGAAATACGCCGCTCAGAAAGTAGCACACCGCTTGCTCATGGTCTAAGAATTAGCCAAACTGTTTGTCAAGTTGCTGCTGTTTCTCGTTTATAATCCGTCTTAAATTTGCCCAATCTTTAGTAATTGCTATCACCTTCTTGGTGTTTTGCTACCTCCATAAACTGTGCTTCCATTTGAAAGTAACCTTGTAAAAAAGACCCACTGTATGTGACATAAAGTTCCCTTAAAGATGATACAAGACGATCAGATCAGACCGGTAGAATGCGTTTACAAACGTAAAGCGAGCCTATGGACATGGCCTAACAGAGTCGCGTTGAATCTAAGTAGAATACGTAACTGAGGCCATTTTGGCGATTTGACAATATTTTTAGTACAAAGAAGCCTTTACAGGTAAACGACAAGAGTTGAATTTACCAAAAGGTACCGTTGCCTTGCCCTTTTAAGCAAGTTTTTAATGTCGTGTATCAGCCATCGATGCATTGACCACTGACATGCCATCTGTAGACATTTTTATTACTGATACAAATTGTTCGAAGAATTAAAATTTATACTTTGTACATGTCCACCATTCTCGTCTTTAGAGGCCGCGATCTTTTTTGGTCCGCACTAGAACCATCTCCGGCCGGTCAACTTTGAATGACCGCGATTCACGATCGTTCTGCGCAGACTCAGAATCCATTCCACTCAAATCTGCCAAAAAATGCAATCGAAACCGAGCACTTTGCGCATGCCCAAACAATCGGAGCAAGTCAGAGGTCGTTATTTGGTTTGCTGCTGACCAAGAGAGAATGCGGCCTCCGCCTGCCTGGACTTAATAATTTGGTCTTATGAAATGTTGAAGCAAGGTAAGAAGACGCTTGAGTCGCGGTAACGTGAACTTCGTGTAAAAGTTTAAACTTGCGTCGCAACTAAAAGAAGTGAAGACGAAGGTGCCATCCATGCACCAACATTCCCTATCTCCCACGCACCCACGCACCCACGCACCCACGCTCGCATTCCCGCGTGACTTACCAGCAAATCTATGGAAGCCACTACTCCCGTGCTGAGTCCAACAAACAGAAGACCAAACGCGGCGTGAAGACACATGACACGACCGTCCAACGTAAACTTGTGAGTACAAACACCACTCTAAAAACAAAGAAGGTAAATAGTTAGACTGCACTATTTTACTTTCTATATCGCATTGAGGTGCCAAATCACGGTACTTTAACTAAACTTTTTAAATTTTTTAGTGATTTAGACAAGACTGATCATAAATGTAGTGTTTAGATTATTTTTTTTTTTAGTATTGTTTGATTGATTATTGTTTTTTACCATGTAACTTATAGATACTGATCATCGGTTTATACCAGCGTCTTCCTCCCGGACGTCGCTGATCGGTCTTTCAGTTTTAAATAAAGCTTTTATTTTTATTTTTATTTTTTTATTATTATTACTATTATTATTACTATTATTATTATTATTATTATTATTATTATTATTATTATTATTATTACTATTATTATTTTATGAGATGTGTAACAGGTTAAAAACAAAGAGAATAAGACGAATTTAACTTAAGATAGCAGATATAAACGTTTAATATCTCTACGAAGCACAGAACAGAGCAGTTCGGCGTCTCTGACAAATATCGCGTCCGAATCAGTAAAACACGGGACATACAAAACGGACTAAATTATTGTCTTTTACTCAATGTGGCGATAAATCATCAGAGAATGAAAAGGAATCATCTCTTGATAATTTTAAATTCTTATTTGGAGATGCGTTCGTCTGTGGATTTACCTCAATGTTAAACCTCTGCAGCGAGCTATATTTAAAAATTATCTTCCCAGCTGGACACTAAATCCAAACACTTTGGAATAAGTTAAGCCCTACTGTAGTTACAAGTTGCGGCTTAGTATGCGGCAAGAATCAAAATTAAGAGAGTAAGAAAGAAAATTACGAGTGGTCCGTAGGAAGACATCCGAAATGAGGGTTCAGGCAATGTTTATTTACGCGCGATTCACGGTTATTACGAATTTTGCATGACGCTGAAAACAATGTTGATGCAAATTATACTACGTGTAACTTGCTGGTGGCGTGAAGTTGTTTTTTTAAGACTCTACAGGGAGAAAAAAAAAACCTTGTTAAATAACAAGCATTGCTGCTCGATTTTTTACAAGTCTCAAATACGTGCGGGTTTTTTAATCTCATTCGCAGCGTCCACTGTTTATTTTAACATCATCTACCTTTGCATGCAAATTTCTTTCCTGAGGAACAGAGATACATGAAAAGTACATGTCAAATCGATGACGGTTTGTAGGATTTATAGAGTGTTAATTATTTCTTGTGAGCTGCGTTATATTTTTAAAATATCTATTCCGGCTTTTAAGAGGAAAAATAGCACTCGATGTAATCTGACATTAGAAGAATAAATCGAAAAGGACTTTTTAATCCCAGACTTAGTGACATTTAGAATTCAATCCTTCTATGTAAATTCAAAGTTTTTGCCCAAATGTTACGTTGTCTCATTCAGAATCACCAAGGATACTTAAAAGAATGAGATATATCTACACTATCACCCGGGTAACTGCTGTGAGCAGAAAAGAGGCTCGCTTTTATTGCAAAAGTGGTAACATCGATAAAAACAAAAACGATGATCTTTCCAGTAAACACTATTTTTCGTGAGCGGAACTTTGCGCTAAAGAAATTATACCATATAGGGCAAGAACAGCGAGGCGGGAATCGGAGAGGAGAGACTCCATTTTCTAGATCACTGCTGCGGATGCGAGGTTTAGTTCAAATATAAGACCAATCTCTTGTTCAAATATTAAATTTTTACTACAGAACTTTAGGGTTGTAATGCTTCGAAAACGAAGTACGCTCAACCTCACAAGGTTTCGTTCATCTCCCAATGCAGTGAAAAAATTAAAATCGATGAGACGTCGATATCAAGTAGCTGATTTCCTAGCTGTTCGTGTGACCACGTGACCCAACACGTGCTTGAGGACAACCTACAGCCGTGAAAAGAAAATGCAGAACACAAGTTGTTGTTGACAACTTAGACACACATAAAACATCTATAGAGTGGTTTTCAATAGGCCACTTTCGATATATTAAGATTCAGCTTGATGGGGACGCCTAGAGAACACACAAAAGAAATGAATAAACATGGTCGTTCAGTTTCCTTTGTTTGTGTCCTCTAAGCTCCACTGCCAAGCTGAATTTTAATATATCGTACACGGTCTATTGAGCGTCGTAAAACCAACACCAAATTGATCACCCTAATCAGTCACAAGAAAACACAGACAATACAGTGAACCAATCAAAGCTCGAAGTAATTACATGTAGCTGACTCAAAGCGCGGGAAAACGAGGACGAGCGAGTCACGATTGGTTTTGGTTTTATTTCTGATTAGATGAAAAAATGGCGCGAATTTTTTACGGCAATCGTGTAGCGTAGTTGATTCAAAACCAATTACTTTTCGACACTCAAATGAAAATCGCTCTATGAGCAAACAGAGCATTAGGAAACTTCTCACTTGCAATAATTATAAGTGTGCCATTTTATTCCCGAGTTACCCTACACATTTGCTTTAGTGGTCTAATTGTTACTTGAAAAAATTGCGGAAACCGGCGTAAAATAAGATATACTACACCGAAACTCTGCCCAACCATACGGATAATGTAGCACCTTACCGAAATGTCGTCATCCGCGGAGAACTTGTGCCCACAATTGGCCCAATGGCAGGCTTCTACGGTACCTTGCTCCATCACGTGATAATCTAAATGGTGACGTCATGGAGTTAAAGATTTGATAAAACGCATTGAATCCAAGATAAAAGAGTAAAGAAATGGAAAAGAAATAAATACTAAAAGGTAAAGCGAAATGTCAACAGACACCACGTTATGATCATTGGGTATAAACACATTTTGTATGTAATCTTCGCTTTTGTTGTGTAGCTGGGATTTCATTTTGAACACATTCTCATCTGGTATTCTCATAATCCTAAAGCTCGTAACTAAAGAAGAAAATAAATAATTTCATCAAATAGTGTCGCAAAGCATAATCCTTAAATTCATGCAGCCGCGACCTTCACGCGTAACTGTGACGTAATCGTTACTGTCACGTAACTGTAATTGTTACGAGCTCATAACTGTCATGTCATATCGCTTACCTCGTAGATGATTCTTCAGGTGAGAGACAACGCCAAAGTTGAGCTTACACTCTCTCCACTAAAAAAAAAAAAACATTTAGCAATTAAAATGTGAGAGAACAAAGAGTAATTGAAGACGAGATGGTAGAAAATTTTACTAACTAAACTTGACAACACCGAGTTCTTGTTACCACACAATTTAAGGTAGGCATTAAAGTGCCACTATGATCAAATTCTCCATACCCATTTTTTCACATTTTCGCACACAATAGGTCTTTCCTAGATTTTTTGCC